TATTTATTTTGATGTACACCAGAAAAAGTATACCACACATTTCAAACTGACAATTTCATGGGTTTTATTGCTTAGGATAAAACTAGATTACAGAACACCAAAGTAATCTATTTTACATAGATGAAATAAATCATATAGAAGTGCAGTGCAGAGGCCTTGGAGACTGTGAAAAGGAAAATGGCAGATGTATGACTAAAGAGTTGGTACCTGCTACAAATAGTTAAACTCATTGGAAAATCCCATTCTTCTTTGAATGTATTTTGTATTTTTTGTTTCAATGAAATGTGATGCCTTTAATTGCATAAAGAATAGAAAAGTTCCGTTCTGTATGTTTGAGATAATTCACAATTGAATAAAGAATGGATATGCATATAAAAATATTAACTTTTAAAAATCTTTGCAATTCGGTGCTTTTCATCTTTCAATTGAGCAATGCTGCCCTTTGAAAACACAAATTATGTAGATACATGGAGAAACTTTTGAAGGAAATATAACTCATTTTTCCAAAAGAAAAAGCTTTATATTTGCCACTTTTTTAAGAGAAGGGGATTTGAATAAAATATGCAAGTATAGTAATGATCCCTTTCTTCCAATGTCAGACTACCAAATATTATGGCAATGCAAAATAACAGGAAAATGTATTAAAGCAAGAAGACAAAGTGCTGTTAACAGGCTGAGTATCACCTTCTGGTCTTTACTCAGAGAGCCCCGTGTGCAATGAAGCAGTGGCTTAAAAACAGCTGTATATACAGTGGCAGCATTAACAAATTATAGCTACAGAAAGCAGCAGGAGGAGGAATCATTTAACCAGGGACAAATTACTGTATATACTTCAATAATAGTGAATATGCCTACCTAAAGCATAGCACAAGAAGTAATTAATATAATAATCCTGAATTTCAAAGTGTGATAGATCTAACGTTTGCTCAAAAATATTACCTATTTCCCTTGCCCTAAGTCCATAAAAATGTTTTGTCTCTTCCCCTTGGCCTTTCGTCCATGAGTAGAAAACACATCTCTTGATTTTGGGCCCGTCTATGTATCTCCTTTGGCTAATGCAATGTCGGCAGATATGATACAAGCAGAGACTTGCTCTCCCACATGTCTTCCTTCTCCAGAAGAAGAGTCTCCCAGGTTTAGCTGCTTCCTCCTCAGCATGGCACTCAAAATGAATATTTGTAGGTAGGAACAGAGCCCAAAAGAAGCAGAAAGCCCACCCAGACAGATATATGTCTTAGAGCAATGCTCCCAGCCACACCCAAACAAGATCAGCTGACACCGTGACAACCTGTAGATACACAGAAATAAATGCTTAATGTTTTATGCTGCAGAGATTTTTGTGGTGACTGATTATACAGTATAATTGTACCATAAATATCTAATATACCAAGAAAAAGTTTGCTCAGCATTCTGTGGAAGAAATAAAGAAAGATGTTTTGTAGAATTTCTCACAAAAACTTTATCTATTTATATTTTTGTTTCTGAAAAGAACACATTTTAGACACAGGGATTATTTACTTGCTAGAACACTTCTTGATGATATCATTATTCTCTTTCACTTTATCTATGACTTCCACTCTACCACTCTTTGTGCTCATATTTAATAATGTTAACCATGTTTTTTACCAAGAAAAAAAGGACTCCCTCGATTCCAAAGTTTCATGAAGAATTCACTTTGCCATTTGCCTCACTGTTCTCCTACCCCTTTTCTTGCTCTTTCTCAATAACTTCTATGGCATCTTCTTTCTCTGCTTCATTGTAAATTGGCTCTGATACCTCCCATTCCATATACATCCCTTTGCTCATGCTCCATTTTCTCCCTGGGTAATCTCTATACTCCTGTGGTTTCAACTTCCATCTTTACCTCCAGCCCTGATCTCCTTTTGACCTCCATACCTTTGCAGCCAACAGTCTGCTGAACATCTCTACTTGGAAAGAATAACACATCCAAAACTACAATCACTTCACCCCATCTCCACCCCACAGCCCCACCCCAACTGCAAACCTGCTTCTCCTCCTGCTTTCTATATCTCAAGGAGCCATGTTGCACCCAGTGGCCTGAATTAGACACCCAAAGTCAGTTTTGGACCTTCATCCTCTAAATCTAATCAGTTATATGCAATACCACATCTGCTTTTATTGTCTCTGTAATTGTTTGGTTCTCTCATTCATCATTTAATTTACAGTGACTGCTTCCTAATTAATCTCCTTGCCTCAGAACTGACTCCATCCTCTCAAGCCATCTCCCTACGCTATTAGAATGTCTTTTCTCAATGTAAATATTATATAAATATGTCAATTGTTTGCATTTTGGGTAGTTTAGTATTGAAGTTATTAACACCCTAGGGTTTCCTTTTCTAATAGTACCATGAAAGAAATTTTTTAAAAATTTAAGAGTACACTTTGAAGCCAGCAGGAAGGAGATCAAACAGAGCGAAGAGTTTGCAAGCAATGCTATGCAGCATTGCCGCAGGAGATAACAAACTGACATGGTCCAGAGGTGGTTACAGGCAATGAATATACCAATATAAATTGGCTAAACTTAGAGATGGATTTACTGTGGATGACTAGACCAAGTGACCTGCAAGCCCCCCCCCAACTCAAAGATTTGATTATCCTACTATGACAAGATTCTTATTTCATTTTAAACCAAATCATTTCAGCAAAGGTCACTTGAATGTCTTCTACGTGCTGTCTCTCCACTCTTCCGTCTAAATTCGTGGGCAGGTTTTAAATGGTTTGTCTCCCTAGATTACAAAAATAACTAATGCTAACTGTAGAAAACTGATAAAATGTTCTTTGGAATATTTTCTTTTATTCTTTCTGTATGTAAATATTACTTACTGTACAGATAGTTTAATATTTTGCCTCTACGTTTAGGATTGCATTATGAGCTTTTTCCAGTGGCCTGAGAAATTCTCAAAAATCATGTTTAATGCTGGAATAATTATTCATTTCAATAGCTGTTCAATAATAAAACTAATCCTGTATTGCTGAAAATTGCCTTTCACAACATTTGTCATTATTTTAAATGATCCCCCTTGAAATGATGTTTCTCGTAGAGAAATATTGGTTACATTGTTTTTTTTATTACATTTACAGGCTAGATTCCTACAATCAAACACACACACACACACACACACATAAATCAAATAATCGCATTGCTTCCTGGAAATATCAAATCAATCATATCATCACCAGTACTACCTGAATCTAACATCAACATCTAACTGCTCTAAACACAGGTTATTTTCAATCTTCTCCAATTTGAAAAGTGAAAAATAATTTTAATTTTGATTTCTTTGGTTACCAGTATTGATCAATTACAATGTCTTGGTTACCAGTATTTATTAATTACAATGTCTTACCAATTTTTAAAAGCTCTTTATATAGGATATTAAACTTATGTATGACATTGTTACAAATTATTTTCTCAGTTTATTCACTAATTTTAGTTTATGATATTTCCTGACATTAAAATATTTATTAAATAAAATTTGTATAGTCAAATTCATCATCTTCTTCTGTAATTTTTCCCCTAAGATAATTTATACTCCTCTTAGTTTCTTTTTTAATATTGATCATAAGTGTTGCAATAATTTACTGATATTTATATGCATATAATCTGTATAGAATATTGGTATTTATTATGTATTATACATACACATTGTATTATATATCTGTCTGTATATATATTATGATGTGCAAGCATAATTATATTCACTTATTCATCAATAGTCAATTTTCCAAGCATCATTTTTAAACTCATCCTTACTGTTCTCATTTGTTTGTGATACTTTATTCTCCCCATATATATTAGCATCTAGCATATACCAGAGTCTTTTTCAGTGTTATATAGTTTCTACATGCAACTACTGGGATGTTCTGTCAGCAGAGCTTTATGAATAGCACTTTCTTTAAACTCAATCAGCTTTAAGTCTGTGGCAGAAAGGAAGGAAGTCTTCATGTTCTTTATCTTACCCATCTCCCCCCAAAATTCCCTCCATAGAAAATTGCAAGCCATCTGAATATACCCCATAGCCCACTCGAATAACAGAAAAAAATGTAAAACAAACTATATTGATAACAACAGTGAAACAACTGGGAAAGGTACCACCAACAATTCAGAACAGTGGTGAATTTCTGGATATATAAAGCAGACAGGAGTAGAATGATTGCTAAATCCAGATGTCATGAGAGACATGGTAGATTCAAGTGTACTGAGATGGAGAAGATTTTAATATTTTATATATTGTTAAGTTTTAAAAAAGAAAGAAAAATGTTCAAAAATCTGTACAAACATTACATTGAATTATCTACATTAATGAGAAAACTAAAAACTTTAAGCAGGTAATAAAAAGGCTCACAAAAAAGCTACCTCAAGAAAACTCTAAAGTAACTCCATCAGAGGCAAGTAGGAATAAAGAATGAGCCACGGTGTTTGGAAGAGTAACTATGACATTAATTAAGATATAAGCCATACACACACCTTCCCCATATCTGTCCCCACACACACATACACAAATAGATACATCACACACATCACACAAACTTTTCCCTGCCTATAGTATAACTTTCTGAGATAGGAGAAGTTTCTGCATGGAGGATCCTATAGAAGATTTAAGACT